GCCTGAGGCTGTTAGGAATTGTGGGAATTGGAGTCCAAAACACTCAGAGGGCCAAAGTTTGCCCATGCCTGGTCTAGATGTACCTTTAGCACACTTTTATCCAACATCAACTTGGAAAGAAATTATTATTATTGCAGCTTCATCTTGTTGTGGTCAATTGTAGCTTTGTAGGTGCTTGCTTCAAGAAAGGAGAGAGATGGAAGCAAAGTCCCAATTCTGATTCCATGGTCAGAAGGGGCACTAAATGGTGAACTGAAATGGAGAGCAGCTCTTTGACCCTGTTGTAATTTCCAAATATTCTTTAAAAACCACCTATATGCAGCACATTGCAAAAGTCATAATTCCACCACAACTGCCACTCTATTTTTTAAAAAACAAAATCTTACCATTGTCATTTCAAAAGGGCTGTAATGCAGTTTATCTATAAATCGGCACTCGTTCATCCTGAGATCACTGCTCTACCTGATCAGCCTTTAAAATGATTTTAGACTTATCCCTTCCTCCCCTAAAATCTGTGACATCGCAAGTATTACTTTTAGCGCTGATGCTGTTTACACCTTTTCCTCCAGTGCTCTCCTTGCGAATCGTTCATCTTGAAGATCATAGAGCCTTTTCTGAGGCCACAAATACCCCCAGGTGTCAGGGAAATAATTAGGAATCCCATCCCTTTTGAGCTTCTTCATTTTGGACATCTCCCCAAGTCTGTATAATGAGGAAACTTTCCCAAATGTTTGACACAAACGTGTTGTTTGTCAGGCAGGGGGTTGACAATCAGCTGCAAAATGCCTGCTTTGCAGATAGGCTCAGGCATCAATAGCACAGCAGTTATCAAGCGTGCGTTTTCAGCAAACGCGTGGATTCACTCCAAAGCTCTGCAGGCCCTTTGGTGCACAGACAAAATTCCTGGTGGCTGCAAAGTTTCCGATGTGTTGCAGCGCTGGGGGGCCTCTGCACGTGCAGCAAGCTATTCATCCATCTCTGCCTCTCCATGAAATGTACACAAGGAAGCAAGGAAAAAGGGACCTCAGAGCCTCTCAGTGGGAGAGGAACAAAAGGAGCTCGAAACATGCTGAACATTACCATGCAAAGACTTTGATGATAGTTGGATGAGTGGAGGTCCTTTCAGTAAAAAATTACACAACTGGATTATATATATATATATATATATATATATATATATATATATATATACATATGTATATGCATGCTGCTGGGAAGCATGTGGGACAGATTACTCGGTGTATATCTTGCTCCTGTGGGTTTTCAGCACTTAAGTGGCTGAGGGGGAAAGGGGAGGAGCTTCTAGCTCCAGCAGACAAGAGTCCTAAACCCTTTTCCCTAGTTCCAACAGACCTCACTACCTCTGAGGATGCTTGCCATAGATGCAGGCGAAACGTCAGGAGAGAATGCCTCTAGAACATGGCCATATAGCCCGAAAAAACCTACAACCCAGCCTGAGGCTGTTAGGAATTGTGGGAATTGGAGTCCAAAACACTTGGAGGGCTGAAGTTTGCCCATGCCTGGTCTAGACTGTAAAATTAATGTTCATTCCTACAGGATATCTTGATGCAGGTGACTTAGGGTGCATCTATACTGTAGAATTAATGTAGCTTGACATCACTTTAACTGCCATGGCTCAATGTTATGGAATCCTGGGAATTGTAGTTTGGTGAGGCACCAGCACTCTGGTAAAACTACAATCCCAGGATTCCATAGCATTGAATTTTGGTAGTTTTGGGGTCAAACTGCATTCATTCTACAGCGCAGATGCACCCTGAGATCCCTTCTACATCATCATATAATTCAGATTATCAAAGCAGATAATCCACATTATCTGTCTTGAACTGAATTATATGAGTCTGCACCAGTGCTTCCCAACCTGTGGGTCCCCAGGTGTTTTGGCACACAACTCCCAGAAATCCCAGTTTACCAGTTGTTAGGATTTCTGGGAGTTAAAGACCAAAACATCTGAGGACCACTGGTCTACACTGTCGTATCATCCAGTTCAAAGCAGATAATCTGGATTTTCTATGACAGTGTAGAAGGGGCCCAAATCAGTTGCATCAAGGTATCCTGTAGGAACAAACATTTCATACTTTGGTTGGTCTAGTTGAAAAGATCATCTTCCCTATACTGGTTCTCTCGCTTTCAAAATATAGCATCCAAAATATATTAATGAAAAATAAAGTAAATTAAACAGTCCATTGCTGCCACCCGGTGGAAAGTAAGATGATAGCAGGACAGATGTAGCAATGTGTTTCCCACATTATTTCCAAGATGTGATCCATATTTCCTCTTCAGCCTGGATCTCCTGGTAAAGAGTACACAGACCTTTCGAGGCATTAGTGACACATTATTTTTATCCTTGAATTTATTTATTTTTTGCCATATATATATCTCAGCCTTTATCACAAGGTATAAAATTAAAATCAATTGTATACAGTTCCATTGTATTCCTCCAGCAAAGATAGGGTCAAATTTCCATTCCTATTTCGGACTAGAAGTGTTATTATGAATTGTTCTTTTTCATTTAATGGGTGTAGAAAATTGAGAGATTATAACCAAATTGAGAGAATATAACCATCAGACAGAGAATGTAAAGCCCTTAGATGAGTTAATGTAGACTGCAGGTAGTTAATGTTTTTTGATGACATATAACCCAGAATATCAAGGCAGAGAATCTACAATATTGGAACTGGGTTAGCTGAGGCCACACTGTCATATAATCCAGTTCAATGTGGATTTGATACAGCTATGTGGAAGGGGACTGAGTGTAATGTTGAGTGATCGAAGGCTATGCTTTGGATGCACAGAGTGCAGAAATAATGTCATAGCCCTGGGTGGCAGCAGTGATAGTGTAGTGGTTTAAGTGTTGGACTATAGCTGGAAACCCTAATTCGAATCCCTGTTCAGCCATGGAAACCCACTGGGTGAGTCTGGACAAGTCACACTCGCTCAGACTCAGAGGAAGGCAAAGGCAAACTCCATCATAAATCCTGCCAAGAAAACTCCATGATAAGATTTGTTTAGGGACATTGTAAGACAGAAATGACTTGAAATGACAAGTTGAACATGAGCCAACAGTGTGATGCAGCAGCTTTAAAAAGCCAGTGGGATTTTGGGCTGCACTAAAAAAAGTATTTTTATGGAAGTGTAGAAGGGGTCTAGGACTCGGAGGAATGGGTTCAAATTACAGGAAAAAAGATTCCACCTGAACATTAGGAACATTCTAGATCAGTGTTTCTCTACCTGGGGGTCGGGACCCCTGGGGGGGGTCGCGAGGGTGTTTCAGAGGGGTCGCCAAAGACCATCAGAAAACACAGTGTTTTCTATTGGTCATGGGAGTTCTGTGTAGGAAGTTTAGCCCAATTCTCTCATTGTTGGAGTTCAGAATGTTCTTTGATTGTAGGTGAACTATAAATACCAGCAACTACAACTCCCAAATGTCAAGGTCTATTTTCTCTAACCTCCTCCAGTATTCACATTTGGGCATGTTGAGTATTCGTGCCAAGTTTGGTCCAGATCCATCATTGTTTGAGTCCACAGTGCTCTCTGGATGTAGGTGAACTACAACTCCCAAACTCAAGGCCAATGCCTATCAAACCCTTCCAGTATTTACTGTTGGTCATGCGAGTTGTGTGTGCCAAGACTGGTTCAATTCAGTCGTTGGTGGAGTTCACAGTGCTCTTTGATTGTAGGTTAACTATACATCTCAGTAACTACAACTCCCAAATGACAGCATCAATGTCCTCTTCAATCCCACTAGAATTCAAATTTAGGTGTATCAGGCATTTGTGCCAAATTTGATCATTGAATGAAAATACATCCTGCATATCAGTTACTTACGTGATGATTCATAACGGCAGCAAAATTACAGTTGTGAAGTAGCAACAAAAATAATGTTATGGTTGGGGGTCACCACAACATGAGAGAACTGTATTAAGGGGTCGCGGCATGAGGAAGGCTGAGAACCACTGTTCTAGATCCAGGGAAGTCATGCTACCCATTCTCTATTCTGCTTTGGTCAGACCACACCTGGAATATTGTGTCCAATTCTGGGCACCACATTTGAAGGGAAATGTTGACAAGCTAAAAGGTGTCCAGAGGAGGGCAACTAAAATGATTAAGGGTCAGGAGAACAAGCCCTATGAGAAGTGGCTTAAAGAGTTGTGCATTTTTAGCCTGCAGAAGAGAAGGCTGAGAGGAGACATGATGATGTGAGGGGCAGTCATAGGGAAGAGCGAGCAGGCTTATTTTCTGCTGCCCTGGAAACTAGGACGCGGAGCAATGGCTTCAAACTACAGGAAAGGAGATTCCACCTGAATTTAGAATGGCTTTCTTCTGAGTACATGATTGCCATGAATATGCTTGTTTGTTTTCCGTGTCAGGAGCGACTTGAGAAACTGCAAGTCGCTTCTGGTGTGAGAGAATTGGCCGTCTGCAAGGACCTTTTAACCAGGGGACGCCCGGATGTTTTGATGTTTTACCATCCTTGTGGGAGGCTTCTCTCATGTCCGCGCATGAAGAGCTGGAGCTGACAGAGGGAGCTCGCCCGCGCTCTCCCCGGATTCGAACCTGCGACCTGTCGGGTTTTCAGTCCTGCCAGCACAAGGGTTTAACCCACTGCGCCACCGGGGGCTCCTAATGACTATGCTGGGCTGGGATTCGATACCATTGGTGCTCTAGAAGTTTTGGACTTCAGCTCCCAGAATTCCTGGCCGTTGGCCAACCTCGTGAAGGCTTCTGGGAGTTGAAGTCCAAGAGACGTGCCGCTCATTGTTGGGATCTTGTTCCACGTGACTCTCTGGTCTCTGATACAGTGGCTCTGTGAAGGCTGTGTATTACGAATCCATTCATCAGGGATCGATTGGCAGCCCCGGCCGTCTCTCGTTGATGATGCCGACCTCGATTCGCTCTCCCTGACGATGATTCTGCCTCCGCGCCTGCGCTCTCATCAGGCAGCTCGATTGGTCTTGCCTGCTTCCTCAGCTGGCAGGGCGAGATGTGATGCTCTCCCTCCCCTCCGCCGATCGACCAATTCAGGGCTCGATTGGGGCGCCTGGGTGGCCATTTTCCAGGAAGAAACACAACAGGAAAGAGGAAGGTAAGGCTCCCAGACACTGGCGGGTCTCCACGGAAGGCACTCCCCCTTCGCTGCTTCTCCGTCTTCTCTCTGTGTGGGGCCCAGCTTATATCTACACGGCAGAATTGTCTCACTTTGACATCGCTTTAACTGCCCTGGCTCATTGTTATGTGATTCTGGGAGGTGCAGTTTGGTGAAATGTTTACCTGCCTCTGTTGGGAAGCCCTGGTGCCATAGCAACCAGCAAGCCCCAAGACTCCATTAGCGTGGTGTCGAACTGCTATAACTCTTCAGTGTGGATCGCCTTGAATCACAATAATTCCCCCTTCCTTCCCCCTTTGCAAGAAACAGACCCCCATCTACAGAGCCATCTAATGCAGTCTGAAACGACATATGTTCAGTGTAGACCAGGCATGGGCAATCTTGGGCTTTCCAGGCTTTTTGGACTTCAACTCCCACAATTCCTAACGGCCTCGGACCCCTTTCTTTTCCCCCTCGGCCGCTTAAGCATTCGAGCTCTAAGATCTTCCGGGATGCCCTCCTCTCGGTCCCACTACCGTCTCAAGCATGGTTGGTGGGGACGAGAGAGAGGGCCTTCTCAGTGGTGGCCCCCCCACCTCTGGAACGCCCTTCCAAGGGAAATAAGACAATCCCCATCCCTCCCATCCTTTCATAAGAGCTTGGTTTCAACAAGCTTTGGAAAATGACCAGTTCTAACTCAGCCCTACACATTGTCGAATACAGCCTTATTCTTCCTACCAGTTACCCAGATTCTTTCCTCTAATCGGCCCCGGAATGAACAACCACAGACCCGTACCTAATATTATTGTTGCCTGCCATAGCATTGCACTTAATTCCCACCCCCCTTTAGAATTTTTGGGCTTGCACAAATCTTGGCCCGACCTTTTAAATTTTTTAATTGCCTTGAACAGGTAGGATTACTTTTAATATATGTGTGTTATGGCAACAATTTTTATGATTAAATTTGTTTTGTTAATGTTATGGTTATGTTGTTTTTTACTTTGTATGTTTTGTGATGTTACCTGGGAACCACTTTGAGTCCCCTTGGGGAGATGGAGCGGTATATAAATAAAGTTTTATTTATTGTTATTATTATTATTCTCTCCTGACGTTTTGCCTGCATCTATGGCAAGCATTCTCAAAAAACCTACAACAACCCAAATTGGGTTGTTTTTAGCTCACTGCTGTTTTGCCTTGGGTCCTAGCTCATGACTGTGGCAAAGCTGTGTCCTCAGAGGCAAAATAACAAGTGGTAAAGTATACCTGCACTTAAATTGTCAGAGCCCCTTAACGATCCAAGCGGCTCCTTCCACACAGCTGTATAAAATCCCACATTATCTGCTCTGAACTGAGTTATATGACAGTGTGGACTTACATAACCCAGTTCAAAACAGATACTGTGGATTATTGGCCTTGAAATTCTGGCTGTGTGGAAGGGCCCTCAGTAAACAATATTCTTGCCGCTGTTGTCATAGATCAGAGAGGTAGCTCATATTTATTATCTATGTTTTTATCCATAATCTTGTTAAATGTTTGTTTGGCAAGCATTACCTTCTTGCTGTCTAGGAGCCCTCTAGTTTTCAATCTGTGTTAAGTCCTAGGACCCTTCCACACAGCCCTATATTCCAGAATATCAAGCAGAATATCCCACATTATTTATTTATATTTCTCTCCCAGGTTTCTTGAACCCGAAGGTTACTCAAGGCAGCTTACAACTGTGGACTTACAAGTGTGGACTCAGATAACCCAGTTCAAAGCAGATACTGTGGGATTTTCTGCCTTGATATCCTGGCATATAGGGCTGTGTGGAAGGGCCCCCAGTGTACAGAGTGACAGGTGGTTGTGTTGCCTCATTGCAAACATTGGCATTTCTGTCAAAATAAGCTAATGTTGTTCTCTTTATCCGGAAGATAGTCAAATCCGTTCCTTTATAAACATGTTGAGTCAAAGGGGAGGTCCCAGATCTTGTAGAGTAAAGGGCAGTATTGCTACACTATAGAGCTTTAGACTGCTTTTGTTTGGAAAAGTAATCATAGTTTCACAAACGTGCTTGTAGGTTGAAGTCCTCAATTCATCATCCCTAGTTATGCATTGCAACACACTCTGGGTGAAAACAAGCAACCAAACACTATCAGGCTTTTTCCCCCTGTTACTACAGTTTTCATTTCCTCTTCTTGTTTTTTTAGCTATTGTTTTCAAAGATGCTGGCCAAACAGGTGTTAGTTCTTTGCAACAAATACATAGAAATATTTGTGTGGCACCTCAAAACTGAACTGTGGGACTATTATTATTATTATTATTATTATTATTATTATTATTATTATTTGTTATCCACCTCTCCTAACAGCTCAAGGCAAGAGATGGGTCTTCAATTTGGTCCAGTTCCGACATCTCATTTAGCTGTCGGTTCTCATTCCACATTCTTGGGACAGCCGATGAAAAGATCCTCTGTGTGACAGTTGCAGTCAGATTCTGGCTGATTGGAGTAAAAGTTCCCCAAAAAACCTAAGTGTCCTAAAGGGTGAATTGTGCAAGAGAATGTGATACTGTAAGTAACCTGGACCCAAGTTATGTAGGACTTTGAAGGTCAAAACTATCACTTTGTACTTTGCCTATAAACAAATTGGCACAAAACAAAACCAGATGTGAATTCAGGGATTGAAGGGTGTGGTGTGGAAGTTGTAGTTATACAAAGTCTTTATCCACCTTTACTAAAGAGTACTAGCACTTCACCAAATCCCAGGATTCCATAGTAGTGTGCCTTGGCAGTTAAAATGGTGTCAAACTGCATTCATTTTACAGTGTAGATCAGTGGTTCGGTTCTCAACCGAGGGGTCGCCAGGGGCTGTCAAAGGGGTCACCAAAGACCATCAGAAAATACAATATTTCTGTTGGTCATGAAGGTTCTGTGTGGGAAGTTTGGCCCAATTCTTTCGTTGGTGGGATTCAGAATACTCTTTCATTGTAGGTGAACTATACATCCTAGCAAATACAACTCCCAGATGTCAAGTCTATTTCCCCCAAACTCCATCAGTGTTCACATTTGGGCATATTGAATATTCGTGCCAAGTTTGGTCCAGCTCCAACATTCTTTGAGTCCACAGTGTTCTCTGGATGTAGGTGAACTACAACTCCAAAACTCAAGATCAATGCCCGACAAACTCTTCCAGTATTTTCTGTAGGGCATGAGAGTTCTGTGTGCCACGTTTGGTTCAATTTCATCATTGGTGGAGTTCAGAATGCTCTTTGATTGTAGGTGAACTATAAATCCCAGCAACAACTCCCAAATGACAAGTCTATTTTCCCCAAACTCTACCAGTGTTCACATTTGGGCATATTGAGTATTTGTGCCAAGTTTGATCAAGCTCCATCATTGTTTGAGTCCACAATGCTCTCTGGATGTAGGTGAACTACAACTCCAAAATTCAAAGTAAATGCCCACCAAACCCTTCCAGTATTTTCTGGTGGTCATGGGAGTTCTGTTTGCCAACTTTGGTTCAATTCCATTGCTGGTGGAGTTCAGAATGCTCTTTGATTGTAAGTGAACTATAAATCCAGCAACTACAACTCCCAAATGACAAAATCAACCCCACCAGTATTGAAATTTGGGTGTATCGGAGACTTGTGCCAAATTTGGTCCAGTGAATGAAAATACATCTTGCATATCAAATATTTACATTACGATTCATAACAGTAGCAAAATGACAGTTATGAAGTAGCGACGAAAATAATATTATGGTTGGGGGTCGCCGCAACATGAGGAACTTTATCAAGGGGTCACTGCGTTAGGAAGGTTGAGAACCATTGGTGTACATACACCTTCAGAAGCACAAGGCCAGATTCCTGGCACACATTGTAGGTTCTATTTTAATCAGTGAGATCTTGCATCACTTTCCATCATGTGCTGCCTCTCTATCAAGAGACCGCAAAGGGAAAGCATCATTGTTCTGATTTGTGTTGTACAGGTTATCTAGAGAGGTTCGCCTCAGAGAGCAGTTTGGACATACTTTGGAGCAAGATAAATATGTGGAATTACAGCATTACTAGAATCCTTAAGAAGTTGCAATTCTGGCCCAACGTGTTATACAATCAATCACTCTGATGTGTTTTTAAATTTTTTTACTTTATTTCAGGGAGAAACTTTAAACAAAGAGCCCCATGGACATGGCCAGTGTAAGTAATACAGACATGTTTGTATTCTTAGAGGATTGTGTTGATAAGTGTGTGTATGTTTAAGAATTTCTACTCCCACTTTTATGCTATGGGTATAGTAATTTACCTGAAGATTGCATTGTGTACTTTCTTTATTCACAAGCTGCTGAAGACTGAAATGGAATCACATAGACCAGTGGTTCTCAACCTGGGGTCCCCAGATGTTTTTGACCTACAATTCCCAGAAATCCCAGCCAGTTTACGAGCTGTTAGGATTTCTGGGAGTTGAAGGCCAAAAACATCTGGGGACCCCAGGTTGAGAACCACTGACATAGATTGTTACAGGTGTGTATCAATATTTTGTGATGCAGTACTGTTTAACTGAACTGATATTTTTTCCCCAAGTGCAATATTGTAATGTTGAGTTCTGTATGAGTTGATTACAGAAACACAGACACATCCCTCAGTTATATTTGAATCATATTCACCCCACCCCTTTTCCTTTGGATTCTTTGTCAGGCTGGGAAGGTTTTTTTAAGCAGCATCAGCTTTTTGAAGACGATAAAGAGCACAGACTTTCAGCAGCATGCCTACTGTAAACAATGCAGCAAACAAAACCTAAACTGGAAGAGAAGAGGATTTGGCTTTAACCAATTTTACTATAGCTGTGTGTGCCTTTCTGCAACAGAGAAACAGCAGTTGCCCCCCAAATCCCTCTACAAACAGTAAAGCAGAGAGCAGATAAGCCTTTTTCACTAGCTCCCCTCCAGCTTATTAAAGAGAGCATAAATCAATACATTTAGCCACCAGAAAGAAAATCATAAGAAAGGTGGAGGTTAATGAAAGAAATAATAATTTTCCTTTCCTTTATTTTGGAAGAGCCTTCAAGTGGTTTCTAGAAGTTTCAACATGTTTTTGCTTCCTTTTTACTATATTTGGTTATTCTATTTCACCTGTGAATGTTGTTAGGTTTGAATAAAAATGCTGAATAATGTTACCTGCTCTTCTTTTTTCAGCATAGGAACCTGTCCCTATTTTTTTCCATTTTATTTCTGTCTCTAGTATCAAATTTCGGCTACAGTAAGGCTCTCTATGTGGGGCTGCTTTTGGAAAGTGTTTGGAAATTTCAACAGGTTCAGACTTCCAGAACACTGACAAGGGCCAATTATGGGGAATGTGTAACTCCTTTGTTAAAATAGCATCTCAGTCTCCCAGTTTGTTTCCAGGCACAATTCAGAGTGCTGGTGCAGAAAGAACATATCTTCCCATACAAACCTTCCATAGGTCTAAGATCTACAGGGGGAGTTCTCTTGGTCCCACCACCATTATGTTCTCGCTTGGTGAGGATGCAAGAGAGGATACTTAGTGGCTTAGTTCCACCCTCTCAAATGTCCTTCAACAGGAGGCTAGCCTGATTCCCTCCCTTCTGTCCTTTTTGCCAGCAGGTTAAAAAGGGCTTGGTTTAAGCAGCCTTTTCATGTATAAGTAGGGGAACGTCTTGCTGCAGTATGTGTGTCTTCTAAATACTTTTTTTTTGGGGGGGAGGGGGGGGCGGGGGGGGGCCTTATTTTTTTTCCAATTTCAATATGAAGTCTTTTTCATAGACACTGGAAACGACCTTAAGTCCCACTCTGGGGAAAAGATAGCATACAAATGAAATAAATGAAATAAGTATGGGCTTTATTTCAGAGACTACATTTAAGACATTGCCTCTCGTGCAGTGAATAAAACTGTTTGTGGCTAAAAAAAATTAGAACAACTAGGAACACAAAAAATATCCCTATTAGCTTTAGTCCTGCTAAAATTTCTATATGTTAATCTATATACAACTGCCATTTTTTTCATCAGATGAGCAATTGGATTACATATGAAGTGGGTGCCTTTTACTATGATGCCACATGAAGCAAATTGGGGTCCTAGTAGTTCTGTTGCCACTTCATTGGGTATAAGCAAAAACATCCTCATAACTAGGGACAGTAAAATTATGTAGTAGAGATTATTTTAGGAAAAGAAAGATTTTCTTTCTCATGTAAGAAAAAATCCTTATAATGCTGGTTTTTCAGGAGAGAGTGCACTTTTGGTGAAATAACAGAAACTTAAGAACTGGAACCAATGGGGACTCCCTGTTTGTCACTCCTGGTTTGTTTGTCACTCCCCATACAATCCATAATCTGACAGTAGTGTTTAACTTGGATTTCCCATTTCTGACTTGAGAGTGATGAACTAGGAATTCAGGGTGTTTCTGAGGATTTACCTTCTGCTCATTTTTTGGTTACTTTAGCTCTTCCAGCTGGCAAGAAGAACCAAGTAAGGACACTCATCCAGGATGCACTTGCTCTCTAAACATAAATGCTAAATCAGGATTTTTAGGAGTTCTGCTCAATGTTACATGCAAATATGTTTAATTCATGAACACTCTACTTTTCTGTACTTCAGACTACAAAAAGACAGTATATGCAGATTGGGTTTTTTTCCTGTTGAAGATGGTTACCATAAGAGTGCAGAACAATTTCAACATTATTAAAGGGAAAGTTGGATTACAAAATAAACACTGGAGCACAGTGATAACCAAATGATTTGGAGCATATCAAGTAATAGCTTTGTGATTAAGTTTCAGGATATAACTGTTAACTACATTAAGATGATTTGTGCATCTGAATCCAGTTCATTCTGACGGTTCAGTTTCAGGAAGAAAGGTTCAAGAAGCAGTTTTTTCACTAAGTTTGTGTTTCTAAGAATTTTTCTGGTTTTATTGTCATGAGAGTTTCCAATTTGGGTGTGACTAGGGTACAAGTAGCATGGAACTGGGGGTCGACTCTCTTGCCATTGTACAGAATCGCCAAATGCTAAAGTGTATCTTATGCCAGCTTTGCAAAGGAAAATGTATTGCCAGATAACTGTTGGAACGAAATTGTCCGTGTGCTCTGCTGAATTAGCCTAGCCAGAAGAGAGAAGAGGAACACACATCGACAGTTTCTTTTGTTATGTTCTGCTTACCCGACGCTTGACTCCATTCCATGTGTTTTGGCTTTTTCTCTCAATAAAAAAATGCTATTTACACAACAGGCAGCATTTTAGCTGTAGGCCAAATACTGTTCCAACATTCCAGTGTGAAAAAAAGTCATCTAAAATTGGCATTTTTAGCTACATCGCAAAGAATTTTTATCAGACTGATACTACCGAAAACTAAGATTCAAAATGCCACTAATGGATATTTCTCCCCCTATTGAAAAAATGTCATTCTCCTATGCAACCTATGCTACATTCAGTTCTCTTTGTGTCCTCTGTAGGTCCTTTGTAACAGATCTAGACTGGTGTCGTACCTGCCAGGATTTTATTCTTTGGTTAGAAGGGTTGTAACTCCCAAGGCTTTTTCCACAGCAGGATCCTCTGGCTCAGACGAGCCTTCAGTTGCTGCTACACCTCCTGACATATGTAAGGAAATTTCATCAAAATTTCACATTCCTTAACACCTAAAAACAGCTTTCTGGGGTGGGAAGTTATAGATAATTGAATTCGTCTATCTCTTAATGTATTTAAACCCCAGTCCCAAGCATATATTCAGAACTGAATACCACTGAGATCCATGGGGCTTATATGCTTTGTTATCTAGTTTAGCTGTAGTATCTAGCTTTATGCATTGCCGTACAGAAAGAGTTGTCTCTTGAAAACAGAAGTACAGCTGCTTTATAATAATACTGAATTTTACTTTTGAACAGGTCCAAGAACAGTGTGGCCAGATGAAGTAATGGGACCTTTTGGTCCCCAGGATCAGAGATTTCAGCTTCCGGGAAACATTGGCTTTGACTGTCACCTAAATGGTACAACGTTTCCAAAGACAAAACAAGTTCATAAGAATTTGCCTGACATTTTAGTTGAGCCCTTGGCAAGTGAGCGGCATGAATTTGTGATGGCACAGTACATCAACAACTTCCAGGTAAAAACATCAAGGCCAGATGAGACCCATGGGAAGTCAGTTTTGAAATGTTATCTGGAAAGAGTGTACCATACTGGTGCATGGTACAATAATGTATATGTGCAATGTGCAATGACAACTGGAATGGCTCCGGATTACGATTTTGAACTGGGGTTTTAATATAACTGGTGTAATGTTTAGATGTTTTAATTCTTTGGTCTTAATGTAAATGTTTGTTTTAATTGTATGTTGTTTTTATACCATTGAATTGTTGTCTACGTTTAAGGCCCCTCTGAGACCCCCTCAGGATGAAAAGGACAGGATATAAATATGGTAGATAAATATAAATAAATAAATATGTCCCGGTGTGTCATAAACCACAATATACCCACAGTCCTCTGGCCCATTTCTAGGGCCAAACAGGAATCCCAGCATGTAGAGACAAAGTGTGCTCTTCTCTGTAGATTATATAAAGTCACAAGGCTACTTTCCTATAGTTTTATGCTTTTCTAATGCATACCATATTAACTATAAACACATCTTCCAATGTAGCTTAGATCAGATTTTGGACCAGCGATTCTCATATTATGCAGCTATGTAATTGAGAGTTGCAATGCTGAAATAAGAAAGAATAAGGTTAATGAAAAATACTAATTAGATGTTGCCATGGTTGGGGCATGGCCTTATTCCCAGAGCTGAGAGAGTGTAAAATCATCATTTGAATATGGTACAGTCAGATACTTATTTCAAGGAAAATATTGGGCCCAAGTCACCAGATTATGTAAGATCCTCCAGTTGTTTTGAACAACTTTCATTATCCTTTTGTCACACTGGTTGCAGCTTTCAGGAATTGTCATCCAAAACATCTAGAGAGTAACAAGTTGCCCACTTCTCACATATGAATATAGATCAATAGCCATGTTTGTGATTCTTTCTTATTTCCTCCTAGTTTCCAGTAGTACAGCACTTATGGAATTAAAGTACTGGTAGCTCGATGCAGCTTATGACAACATTAAGTGCTATTTTTCACATTTGCCAGGAATCTAGCAAGTGCAGTTTGCTGGCATATCTGCCCCAAAGTCCTTATAAGCATGTATAGCCTTTCAGCTTTATGCTTATACTTTTCTGTTTAGTCTGTTTTCTGGATTGTTGTATTTTATGGTGCTTTTATTTTAATTGATTGTTTTTGCTTTTATGTCTCATGGACACTCTGTCCCATATATAAGCCACCCCGAGTCCCTTCGGGGAGATGGTGATGGTGTATAAGAATAAAGTTATTATTATTATCCCACTTGGCAATATGTAAAGGGGTTTGTGCCACATTCATTTTCACTTGAGGCAGTGATATTGCAAACTGTTCCATCAATGGATGCTGTCCAAGAGGGACACAGGAATTCTGTTCATTTTTCATTGAGTAGTTATGAAAAATGCCTCGTGTTTCTGAGAAGTTTAGGTAATTACCCTTTTGTTCTATCTCAGTAGCACTGCGTCAGAGGAAGCACCAAATGCTCCTGAGAAGAATGCATTTCAGAACAGGACTTTTAACACTGCTGCACAATCCCATCCAGTTTTTGAGTTTTGAAATTAGCAAAATAATGTCAGTACTGTGTCCCAATCTACAACTGGGCCATTATGATATAACTATAGTGATGGCCTCCAGCACTATAGGAATAAAATTGCACTCTAGCTGTCCCCAAATTTACAGTGCATATTCATTTGCTTAAAAATTAAAAAGACCAATATAAAATACTATACTAAATATTGTACCGCTGTGACTATTATGGATAGCCAGTGTTGTGTAGTGGTTTGACCAGAGTTAAGTTTCCTACTTGGCTGTAAAATCCCAGTGGTCACACACTCTCAGCCCCAGAGAAAGGCTAACCTCCCTGAAGAAATTGCCAAGAAAACCCAGTGATATGTTTGCGCCCCATGCAGTCATGCTGGCCATATGACCTTGGAGGTGTCTACGGACAATGCCAACTCTTTGCCTTAGAAATAGAGATGAGCACCACTCCCAGATTCGGACACGACTGAACGTAATATCAGGGGAAAAACCTTTACCTGTGTTTGCCTTAGGATCATCATACTTCAGAAATGATTTCAAGGCACGTTACAACAAGAGCAGCTATTGTGTATTAATGTACATCTGAAAAATACTGTTCTTCTTTATCTAGAACAGCAACACTTCTAGTAAGCAAGAGGTTAACCATGTGAAGACCTACTTTGAAACCGCAAAGGTGGAATGTGCAATACAAACATGCCCAGAACTGTTGCGAAGAGGTATGGACCGGACCCCCTTTCCTTGTTTTAATTTTCTTTGTAAAATTTAAAACTAAAAGTACATGAGAAGAATATCATTAAAGTTATAAGTATTTGATTCAATTGACACTTGTCCTTTTAAAATATAGTATACTTTTCTACATGAAAAGAATACTTAGCCCAGCAACCAGGCAATCCTTTTTTGGAAGTAAATATATATTATTTGTGCTAACTATTGAATGTTTTGACTCAAGTTTCTTACAAAATGGAGAGGGAAGTAAAAGAAGTGCAGGAACTAGCTAAATTGTTTTATGTATTTTTGGTTCTTACCAGATTTTGAGTTACTGTTTCCAGACATAGCTTCCAATAATCTAACAGTATTAACCGTAACCCAGAAAACTGCAAATGATATGACTGCATGGAATGAAGAGGTAGAAAATGAACGAGAAGTTCTAATAGAAAATGTAAGTATCACCAGCTCATTGTTGTAATTATTAAGACTGTGTTTTGACCCCAAAACCTGTTTGTACTTGCCTTAAATTATTCCAGTTTTAAACTTTGCCTAGGCTGCTAGATGTGGAATTGCCACTAGAGGGCGTCATGTTTTAAAACATCCAAGTTAATTTTAAGAAACGCGTATTTATTTCTGTTTCAACAGATGTCAGTGTTTACTGCATAACATTCTCCATGCAATTGCTATTTTCTGAATGCTGTTTTATATTCTAAAATTCATTGTTTACAATCTAGATACGCTTCTATATTCTGGAATTTTTCCTTTTCCTTTTGGATCATTTTGTGATAAAGATCAAATAGAAGTGGGTTTTTTTTAAAGCCAGCACCAGCCAGAAGACATTTCCTTTACCTCCATTTGAAAGCTTTTGCAATGGCAAATAGCTTTTCATTTGTTTAAGCTTATCTGGCTTTGAGTATGTAGTATTCAATTATCACCATGAAAAAGTGTATGCAGAGTAAAACTCCATTGTGGCCTGTCCTCGTCTCTATGTTAGTCATGGTCTGTTAGTCTGTGCCATTGTAATCTGGTCTAATTATGCCGTAATTGTCCTCCTCCTTCCTGGAGCACCTTCCTGTCAATTCTAATATATTAACCCTAGGAGTGTTGGGATGGTAGGCATAACCTCCTGGCCTAAAGGTTACTAACAGCAAATCCACAATAGAATAGACTGTTTGTTTTCATTGTGGAGGATCTGAAACAAGTTCAGGAGAACTAACTTAACATGAGAGAGTTGGGATAAAGTAATGAGAGTTAGTGGCAAAGCAAAGGAAGGTGTTGCTATCTTGAAACACTCAAGTTGTTTTAATTAACATCGGTTTGAGTGGTTGTTGAGTGATGGTAGGAAATCAGGATCAAAAGGGCCCAGGACATAAGAAATGTTTGTCTGTCATTGTTTACTGGCATCCCCCTGACTTAATGTGGAATTGCAGTGGACAGATGATTAGACCTGTGAGCTTTAGGCTACTTGAAAGAAATAGGTCTGCCCTGAATATAAAACTGTTTGAGGATGGCTCATCATAATTTGAAGCAGTCCCCTAGTTATATGATATGGCGTGTGGCTATTCGGATTACATGCTCCAAGGGAGAAATGACAGGATGCATTGATCCCAAATAAACAGAGAGATGCACATGATATCATGTAAAGGTTAAGAAATCCCAATTAAAATACATATTCATAGGTATTGGATATTTGTACTAGCAAAGATTATGATAATTGCTAAAATGAGATTAAATGTGTATAAGCATGTGTATATTTATTTACTCTAATGATGTCAAATTATGTAGGCCTCAATCCAACTGCTGCTCAACACAAGTAGATGTATTGACTCAGTGACTGAATAAGCCAATGCCATTGATTCATGGGGGTTTACTGTTGTCCGGATTAAGAATTGTTTTAAGTAACATTTTCTATGCTTGGTTACAATATTGAAATAGAAATGTTGCTACCTAAGTATTCTTAGTTGCCTTAACCATGGGTTACAACCCATTTTCGTTCACCCAATTGTGCTTGTTGTTTAGAAATCTGGGTTGGTGCAACTTTAAGTTGATTAAGCTCAACAGTAGAATGGTGCAACTTGGGCCATTGTCTCTTAGTTTAATAACATGAGATGCTGAATCTTTTCTCCATGCACTATATTTGATGTCGTCTTTTCATTGTGATCAAGCTTGGAAGGGTCTGATAAACTGTGACTTGCTCCATCATCTAAATCAGGGCTGTCCAACTCATTTTCACTGAGGGCCACATCAGCCTTATGGTTGCCTTCAAAAGGCTGCTGAATCCAGAGAACCAACCATATTTTTTTTACATCGTGTTGGGTGTTCTTTAACTTTTACCCAGTTTGGGTTCCCAGATGTTATGAAATAACAGCTCCCATCACTTTTGATTATCCACCATATGGATTGGGGATAATGGCAATTGCAACCCAACAGTACTTCCGGCTCTGAGGTTGCGGGAAGGGTTAAAGCATATTTTAAAGTCAGACATCATATCCACAACCATGTATCTAAATTCAAAGCTTACTATCCTGACTAAACAGAACAAACTGCAGACTTCCAGATGTCACTGTGTTACAACTTCCATCAACTCTAGTCATTATGTCTAATGATGAGGAATACAAAAGTTGTAGTCCAGCATTTGGAGGGTCACATAAAAAGACTTAGCGGGCCAGATTTGGACCAAGGCCCTTGAGTTTGACACATGTAGTCTAAATTATGGCTGTCAACTTTGAACGGAGCCACTGTATTTAACCAATACCAAAACTGATTTGCAGTGTATTTGTAGACATTTTTGGTTGAAACTTCCAGACTAAATCTCCTCCATAGCTATTTAAAAATAGTATCCCATTTCAGGTATGACATTAAACTATGATGAGTTAGAGCAGTGGTTCTCAACCTGTGGGTCCCCATATGTTTTGGCCTTCATCTCCCAGAAATCCTGACAGCTGATGAACTGGCCAAAACACCTGTGAACCCACAGATTGAGAACCACTGAGTTAGAGGCTACTGCAAAAGGGCACAAGGTTTCTTCATACTTTGGCTTGAAAAGTCTGCTTTTGACCAACCTGTTCATTATGCTGCCTTTCCTCTTACTGAGTCCTAGATGACAATCAGCTTTTCCGAAAGTATATAGTGGCTAAGGAGTTGAACTGGAAGACAATGATTATTATAGTTTTAATTGGTTTTATATGATTTTTAAAAATGTAATATTGAATGTTTTTAATTAATATGTATGTATGTATGTATGTATGTATGTTGTGGCATCTAATTGTTGCCAATCTGTACCCCGCTCTGAGTCACCTTCGGGCTGAAAAGAACAGGATAAAAATGCTGTAAATAAATAAAATAAATATTTTCAGTTTATTAGGTATTTTCTTGATACACCAGATGTCGTTTCTTTTAGTACAATGTAAAGGGCAGTATATAATGCTTTTGCTGAGAGTCTTAGCAGTAGCAACATCTAAGTTTCTGTGTTTTTGCATCTACTTTCAAATAATGTATTTGGCAAGGATTTGGAAAAATGATCTTGTTGTGATAGTGGAACAGATACATTATTTACTAGTAAATATATATGTGCCCTGAAGCTACGAAACAAATCTTAGGCATTAGGAAAGTGGATAAAAGTAAAGAAAATAGATGTCGTTCTTCTCTTTTTTTTAAAAAAAGGTTTTAAACGAGAAAGAGGTTAACAAGTATGACACTCCAATTCACTTGAGCAATCAAAGCAATTATATTATCCCAGTTGTACAAAACTATTAATCCTTTACTGACGAGCACAAAGAATTTCTTCTAAGCTTCATGTGACCATGGTATCTCTATACAGGTTATTAATTTTAATCCTCTTAGCACTGTCATTCAACTTTTTTGCCAGAGTTATGCTTACTATTCCTTTGATTTTGTGCAGGAAAAATAAAAGAAATATTTAGTAGCATTAAAATTTATTTAGCATCTTTATATTTCCTCTCTTCTTAGTTCATTAATGGTGCCAAGGAAATTTGCTATGCTTTGTGTGCAGAAGGCTATTGGGCAGATTTCATTGACCCAACTTCAGGATTGGCTGTGAGTATCTCTGATTGTTTTCTTCTCGTTCCGCTTGAAAATCATTCATGGACATGCCTAAATTAGTTTGTAGAATGTCCTCCATTTATAGATATTTTCATTTCTTTCATAGCAACCATAATCACAGCTGCAACATGTAGAATTTAATAAAGCAAAAAAATGCAGGTCCATTTCTTCTTATTCATTTTAATTTATATGTTTTAGTTTTTATGTTGGTGTCCTATTTTTCTTTCCGAGGAAGTAAAAAATGGTGCACATGATTTTTATTTTTGTTTTTCTAAAAATAAAAGGGAACTCATGCAAATTAGGCTGAAATAGATTAGACTAGAAAAATCTCAGCTAGCTTTAGGCTTGAAGTATTTATTTATTTATTATTTTTATCCTCTACCGTCATCGGAGGAGGCCCTGCTCTCCGTCCCTCCCCCATCTCAAGCACGGCTGGTGGGAACGAGAGAAAGGACATTCTCTATGATCACCCACCACCGGTACCTCTGGAACTCCCTACCTAAAGAAATAGGCATGGTCCCCTCCCTCCTCTCCTCCAAAAAGCAACTGAAGACTTACTTCTTCTCACTAGCATATGGAGAGGAGGGGAATTAGATAATGAGAGATCACTACTGGCCCTGTGGTTGAGAACTATTATTGTATTTGGGCTCTGTTAGTCCACGTTAGCCCAGTTATCATCACTTTCCACACAATCAACCCATATAACTTTGTGAACTTTAGTGGGCCCCTGCAAATCAATGTGGATTTTTTATGCTTAGATTTTATGTCACTATATAATTTTTGATTGATTATGTTTTATTTAATTTATAGATGTTATGTTCTAAGTTGTTTTCATATGTGGGGTTATTCTGGATTGTTATGTCGTTACTTGTTGTTTTACTAAAGCATTGAGTGTTTGCCTTTTTGTATGTTTGAATCTGTCCTGAACACCCCCCTGCGGAGATAGGATGGAATATAAATAAAGTTTTTAATTTATTAGTATTATTATTTAGATTTCAATTTTCTCCCACAATGGAACCCAAGGTGGTTCACATCACACTTAAAAACCTATGTCATTCAATATTTTACAAAAACATTAAATTAAGTTCCATTATGAACACTAACTTACAGCAATCAGAAGCTCATTAAAACACATTAAAATGATTTCTTAAAAAAAAAAACATTAGAAAGATTCATCTGGCACAATTACTTGCATTCCAAAGACCCATCTAAGTAAAATAGGTATTTCAGTGGTCCTCTCCCTGGTCTTTAGCCACATAATGAGAAGACAGGAAAGCTTGGAGATGCTGGGGAAAATTGAAGGAAAAAGGAAGAGGGCTGACCAAGGGCAAGATGGATGGATGTAATCCTTGAAATTATTGGCTTGACCTTGAAGGAGCTGGGGGTGGTGACAGCCAACAGGGCGCTCTGGTGTGGGCTGGTCCATGAAGACACAAAGAATGGGAAGCAACTGAACGAATAAACAACAACTCCCTGGTCTATGCCACGCTGAAATACATGCACACACTATCTATTTTTCCTCTCCATAAATTGATTTTTAAAGACTTATAGCGCATGCACATTGTAGTAACACCATTTCACACCAGTTTTTAGAACTATAGTAATGCAGTTTGACGCCACTTTAACTTCCATGTCTCAATGCCATGGAAGCCTAGGAGCTGTAGTTTGGTGAGACAGCAGCACTTTTTGGCAGAGAAAACTAAAGACCTTGTAAAACAACAGTTCCCAGGATTCCATGGCATTTGGCCATGGCAATTAGAGTGGTGTCAAACTGCATTAATTATACAGTGTAGATGCACTCTAAGATAGTGGTATGTTGGAAATGATAGGTAAACTATCAATCAGCATTATTTCTATCGTCTTACCCATTGTCAGGTAATATTGTTTTCTCAGGCCCCATCCAAGGGTCTTGACATCCCAGATATAATTTCTTAGGAAGACTTAGGCATATCAAAAACAAAGGATTAGAACATCTTGTGTTTCTCTATTTAACATATATGCGTTTTTCTCTGGTTACTTCTACTGATGAATGTTGACTGTGTTCTTGTGGAAACCACTACAAAGTGCTATTGACTGATTTGTTGATCTGCTTTTTATTATACACATTAGGAGCATTTTGTTGCTAGCAATACTTGCAGAAAGGAATTAAAGGGCTACATTTAATCTTGGGGGCAAATAGGGAATTTCTGTATACCCCTACAGAGTATTCCTAAATTCTGTATTCCTGCATAGAATTTTTAAAGAGCTAGCCGTGTTGATTTGTGTTCGTAAATTGAAAAAAGAAAGTTTTATAACATTTTTATGACTATTGAATTTAGGTTGCTATTTCATGCTGTAACATCCATTTCCTTTAGCCATGTCACTCCAAATAAGCCATACAAGAATTAAATCATGTATAAGAATTAAATCATGTGAATTTGGACTTTAAATATATTGTATCTGCTGTACGGAAGGATATTTAACGTGGTCATCATAAACATTTCCCTTTTTCTCATTTCAGTTTTTTGGCCCTTACACAAACAATACCCTTTTTGAAACGGACGAACGCTACCGTCATCTCGGATTCTCTGTAGAAGACCTTGGCTGCTGTAAAGTTATTCGTCATATTCTCTGGGGAACTCATGTGTTGGTAGGAAGCATTTTCACCAATGCACCACCTGACAGTCCCATCATGAGGAAACTGCAAGGCAATTAATGGTGGACTCTTGGTTCTTGAATTGGTCAATAAACACTGTTGGGACATACCAAGTGTTAAGATATATTGATTTATAGACAATAAAAGGTCTGTTATTTATTTTAGCCTTCGTGGACCCTGCAGTTTCTGTACATTATTTGTTTATGTTGCATATATAGCATAGGGTATTTTGCGTTAAGTCTTACATTCCCAAATATATAATGAAACACCTACAAGAATCTTCCATTGGTATGCCAAACATTTTAGTAGTATTTCCACCCATATACTTCTGACCAAAATAGTTTAAATTGGTAAATATTTGGTATTGGTTGCAAACATATTACCATTTCAGCAGCTTTTGTTTTGCATCTTCCAGTTTTGTAATTTTAAATAAAAGATTGGGCATGCCAGCTCTTCCCATCTTGCGGCATACTGACTGGCTGGCTGTCACCACCAAGGGGACCCTTTGATGAGTTATTGTCGAGCGGCAGCTGTATGAAGTGCTTCCCAACGCTGATTACTAGCCATTCACTCCACGATTATATTACAGGTCCCAGTTTGGGCTGCCACTGCTGTTTTTCCCTACCACAGTCACCAGTCACCACTGGGTCTCCATCGTTGCCTGATTCACCACAGCTGCTGTTTTTGATGGTTAGCTTTCTATTTTGTGTCGACCTCAACTGTGTAGATCTTATATTGTATTGACCTATTGTGCTGACCTTGATGTTGAGGACCTTGAAGCGCGGATGCGCTACGTTGTGCCTTACCTAAGGATGGGTGGCTAGGACAGAACAGGGATTCTCTTGGTGTACTGGTCCACCCTACTACAGTCTCCTGCCTGAACTAGCCAGAGTGATCTCAGGCCTGGTTTTGGAATTCAAAGGCTAATAGTTCTGTGGGACTTCCAACATCTATGCCGAGACTAGTCTGTCGGATGTGGCTCAGGACTTCATGGCCACCATGACAACCATGGGTCTATCCCAAGTGCTCGCTGGCCTCACCCATAGTGCTGGACACACCCTTGACTTGGTCTTCTGTTCAAGGTGAGATGGCACTGATGGTACTGTGGAGAAACTATCCACAGTTCCATTGTCATGGACCAATTACTACCTGGTCAAGTTTAGACTTACTGGGGCTCTAAACTTCTGCAGTGGTGGAGGACCGATTAGGATGGTCCACCACAAGAGACTTATGGATCTGGATGGATTGCTGACGACTCTTGGAGATTTTCCTGCAAACTTAGTAGATGATTCCGTTGAAGCTCTGATGGAATCGTCCCTGAACATCTCCTTTCACAAAGCAGAGCCAAATCAGCTCCCTGGTTTTCCCGAGAGCTGCTAGTGATGAAGTAAGTGAAACAGAAGCAAGTGAAATGGAAACAAGTGTTGGCAGAAATCCTGCAGCAAGTCTGACCAAGCACAGTCTAGACCAAGTCTAGTCTATATTTTAGAGCCTATTTCGTGGCAATAAAGGCAGCCTAGAAATCTTTGGCTGCTGCCAATGTTGCATTATTTGGAGAACTGTGGCTGATCATGAAGAAGAGAAAAAAGAAGTCAAATTATGGTTCAGGTGGGTTCTGGGACAGTAAACCAGACAGGTATCTATGTGTGTGGGTTCCTTTCATGTCTGAAACTGCAACCTGGAAGACTGCACCAGTCTTCTCTAGCTCAAGCCGGAATGTGGCAGCCTTTACACCACACTTTCATTCAACTACAGTGATGATATGGTTGGAAAAGGAGGGGCAAACAGACAAGTCCACAATTAGCCTGCTGAGTGGACTTTGGGAGTGAAGGTGGCTTTGGAGCCAATGTCACGGATGATGTATTGCAGGCATTCCTACAGTTGTGCAAGGAAATGTATCCTCACAGAAAAATACAAAAAGTCACCGTGTCCTGTTCAGCTGAAGTTCCATGAGTACTAAACCCCAATAGAATCCTACACTTTGTGTCACAATAAATATGAAACGTATTGTATAAATCCAGCAGTTAGTGCCAGTGGAAACAGATCCCCTGACTTGTTGAATGGATAAGTCAATACAAAATCCCATCCAGTCAGTTGATCTCTAGCTGGAACTGGCAGATGGATTTTGGACAGAATTACCAGTGTATATCTTGGAATGGGAATCATGCAAACCTCCAGAACATGGCCCTACTCATAAAGCCCATGGTGTGAATGCTAGGAGGTGAAGTCTAATAAATTCTGATGGACTGCATGGTTTTTTAAATATATCTTGAACCTTTTTTAGTAAGAGTTCTGTGCAACTTCACTTACAACTGCTATGCTCTGGTCTATCTCATTGAAAAAATTTCTAACATTTCTCAGATTTAATCATGGAAGTAGTACCATTTGTTGTCCACAGCTAAATGTGATTTTGGAAAGAAGGCTAGAGTCTTTTATCAGTTTTTCTGAGAATAAGGTGACTCATTGCACTGAAAACTTCTTTGGATCTTCGGTGTTTTTCATTGCAACTTCTTTTTAGAGCCTTCTGAACAAACCTTGCCAAGAAAACCCTGTGATAGGATCACCATAGGTCAGAAACAACTTGACACAAACAACAACTATTAATCATAAATATTACACAATGCAATGTTTTCTTGCTTTTAATAAATGGGGTAATTGAGGTGCTCTTTATCTCATGTAACTAGTTTGCTCAATAGTGACCCATATCTTTGGATCTACAGAGTTAAGTTCTCTCATATAGTCCCTATAGTAAAAAGTTCTTATTTTTCTTAAATGACGTTCCTTACCTAGATGCTTGTTGTTTTGGCAAAGCAAAATACAAAGGCAACATTTTCAGTAGGATAATCCATTATTGCAGTGATGGTGGTTTGAGATTTCTGTGTGGCATGTAATCTTTTGACTGGGTTGTATAAATACATGTGTTTGTATGCATGCATATGTGTATGCATAAACATAAGTACATGCTGTAATAAGTTTCACTGCATTTTTGTTTTTGATGATTGAAGGTGTACACATTAGCTTGGACTCTAAATCCTGGTTTACACATGCAGGAGGAAATGTGATTTTCGTTATTGCCCTGGCCTTTTTAAACCAAAAGGTGGTGTCAAAATGGAATGTAAAACCTTATATTAAATTAGTTTTTGATAAAGTTGCATTGTGTGTTCCATGGAAGGACTTCTTCTCTTGAATTTGACTTTTCTTATTCTATGTTCCCTCCTTAAATTTTCTTAATACAGTGCACCAGCCATCAAAAGTAGATTAGAAGGGATAAAGGGATGTAGAGAGCTACTTTTCTCATTGATACCAGGTTCACAGCAGGTGGAATTAACTAGGTTTCACCCTAGTTGTGGGTGTGTGAGTATTAAGGTGAAAAGATTCTGTTTGAAATGTTTGCTTGTATAAACAAAAACAAAAAAAGATTTCTCATCCAAATCTTCTAATATTTTCTTGTTTTTATTATTAGTGTATTTCTTCTATTCTAATATGCACTTTTCTCCCATATAAAACATCTCTAAACACACACACACATGTATTATTTTGGTGGTACTGAAATTAGTGTGTGTCTTAGACTCTAAGGTGTTTTAGAATCAAAGAAATATGGTATTATTATTATTATTAATAATGTCAAGGGGAACTGGCATCAGAACTGGTACAGCCATCTGGTATCTCACACTGCTGCATGTACAAACCTGGGCTCACTTTTCTGCTTAAATGGTAGTATTAAAGTCCTGTTCCAAATGCCCAATTTTGACTGATCATTTTATAAAAAACAATTTTAATCCATCTGGTCCTGACCTAAATGATCAGAAACTTTCCCCAACATATTGGGAGAGGCTTAGTTGTGTCACTTAGAACAATAGAGTGCTAACCCTGTTGCCTTCAAAAAGAATGGCTCTACAGATCATGGAGTTTGCTCAGCTGAGGTTCCTGCTTCCAAAAATCCTCAAATGTGTACCAAATGAACAAGCAGACCTCACAACCTCTGAGGATGCTTGCCATAGATGCAGGCAAAACATTAGGAGAGAATGCTTCTAGAACATGGCGATACAGCCCAAAAAACCTACAACAGCCGAACAAACTGCTGCTGGAATACAAGTTGGTTCAGGATAATCAAGATCCTATGCTTTCCCGCTTCAAGGTGAAGAAGAAAATATTAGTATGAACATTCCGAGTAAAATCTTCATATTTGGAACTTCTTGTTGAAATAAACTTGTAGTTATTTTTCTGCAAGTTAGTCACAAAATTGGAATTTTAAACGTGAGTTACAAGAAATTTTAGCAACGGTACATGTAGACCTAATTTAGAATATCCAGAATGTGCTCTTATTTTTGTACTGAATAAAAATTATCCAAGGACTACCGTGGCCAAGTACTCATTATTAATGCTGATATTGGATTGTATCCTAATTTAGGGCACATCTGCACTCATCATTTAATGCCGTTTGAAGGCAGCTTGACTGTGTAGTGTTTATATGATGCACAATTCAAACACATTCTACAGTGTGCTCTGAGTGCTTTTAAATGGGATAAGCAAAGTCAGGGGATACTCTGAAATGGAGCCTATAATGTGCATCAGTGCACTCTAGTGTAGACCACATCGTACATCAAAAGCAACTCCACAAAATGCAAGTAACTTTGTCGACACCTGAAGAGTTCCACTGATCTGCACATATGCATTCTGCTACAGGGAGTGCATTCTCCATGGCTATCAAGCCACACATCCTCTGGATCCTGAAACTTTCAAGGTAAGCACCATCCACCCTCAAACCTGTTCCTGGACTTGCAATGTAGTCATCCACATGGTGAAACCGCTGCCTTCTATGATGGTTTTACTCAAGATTAAGTGGTCACTGCAGATGTGTTCTCTGTCATCCTTCTGATAGTAAAGGTAAAGGTTTCCCCTTGACATTAAGTCTAGTCGAGTCTGACTCTGGGGGTTGCTGGTCATTTCCATTTGTAAGCCAAAGAGCCAGCATTGTCCATAGACACCTCCTAGGTCAAGCGGTACCTATTGATCTACTCACATGTTTTCAAATTGCTAGGTTGACAGAAGCTGGGGCTAACAACGGGAACTCACCCCATCCACAGATTCAAACCACTGACCTTCTGGTCAGCAAGTTCCACAGTTTAGCATTTTAACCTGCTGCACCACTGCGACCCCTTCT